GTTGGTCTACATAGACACATCCATACCTGCTTATTGCTTTGGTGCTGCTGGAACCTGGAAAAACTCCAATCTGAGGGTCACTACAGGACACCATGGCAGAGAGGATGCCAAAGGAGGGTACTTTTATGCAAATTTTTGCAGATAAAGCATAACGTCCATCTACCTAATTCTTCCAGCCAGGCCTTAGCTGTATGACTGGTTTCTGGCATATGAGTTAATATGAGGTAAAGACTTTAATGCAGCCTGGAGTAGAGACAGAACAATTTCTTCCCTATTTGCTAAGAAACCCTTAAATGTACCCAAAGGACCTGGGTACATTAGATGGGGCTGGGCTGCATACTAGCACAGGTATACAGATCCTGAAATAGAGCAGGCTTCTCTCTGCAGCTGTGAGCAAGGGGAAAGCAAGCAGACACCTGTCTGTACCCAAAGAGGTACCCAAGGAGGCAGCTGTATCTACCCCATCTTACAGGTACACTGTGCTTCCACATCTCCTTAAACAAGATGTGGTTTTCACTCAGCTCTAAATAATGTCACTGTTAAAAGGGAAAAAATAAGAATAGGAAAGTACAGCTGTCACTTAAAGTGCTATGGTCTCAGGGGCTAGAAATTTCTGATACTCAGTGAACAAAATGGACTAAACCTGCCCCATTTAAGTCAAACTAAATCAGTGTTAGGACTACATTCCCTTTAACCCTGGTACTCGGTTCTTGTTCCCTCCCTTTCATTGGTAACTTATACTGATCCAGCTTTGGGTACTGAATTATCTCCAAATTAGTCCTACTTGAAGTGTCCTGGAGCAGGAGGGTGTGTGAAGGTTCCCTTGGCTCACAGGGACATGAGACAAACTCAGAGTGTGGGGCCTAAGTTTGGCATACCCAGCCAGCTGTTCAAATCCCCACAAAGTTTTAGGACTGGCTCCGTCACAGCAAAACCAGGGAGGTTGTGGAAAACAGATTAAGAGCCAGCTCTAGGCTGCTCTCATGAGAAAAGTCTCTTCCACCAGTTTCTCCATCAGCTGTGTATTTTTCCCTACAACAAGGGAAGACATTCCCCATGTAGGAAGCTCAGGTAGCTCAGAAAGGTAACCCCTTTGCCACCCCTAGAAGCCCAAGTCTCTTGAGATGCAAAAAGGACATCAGGCAGTCTGTGATGCTTAGCCAAATTGTTTCATTCCTGTTTCATGGCTTACAAGTACAAATGTTTTGGACTTTGAAAAACTCTGTATGACTAAATAGTCCCAGGCCCAACTTGTTTGTTCTTCACATAAAAGGCATTGCTAAGAAGGGGACACAATTCAAAATAAATTGTAAATGAGAAGAAATAAAAAGCAAACACACTAACACATGGAACGTGGAATTTTATATCCTTTATTAATCTCCTTGACAGAATCAAAGAAATATCTCTGTGATTACTGCAGTAGTCCAAGCATGGGGGCAAACACAGAAGGGTGATTGAAATCCCTGTCCTCTTTAGAGTGCTCAAGCTGACAATAAGCAGAGGAAAACATAAAAGCAGAATGATGAGGTTGGCAAATATACAAATATCCTCTTCTACATTTTAGAAGGGGAAGGATATCAAGGGATGAAAAAGATGTGAGGTAAATATTAGCAAAATGGTATGAAACTGGGGAAATGCAAAAGCTCGAGGCAGAAAAAGGAAGTATGGAAGGATGTTAAAGTGCCAAGATGTAGACATACTCCAGTTCAGAAACAGACATGTTGGAGGTAGATTTAACACATGGTTTTATTACAGTTAAAAGTTGTGAGAATCCACAAGGCCTTCTAAAACTATTTTGAATTAATGGGTATCACACAAAAAACTGATTTTTTCAACATGAAGTTCACCCATAAAATACCATATCATTATACTGGGGAAAATTTAGTGAGGGATTTCATCTCTTCTCTTAATACAAATCATTTGAATTTAGTTTACGGGATCCATCAAACTGTGAGTACCTCTGAGATCCCCGTGTCACACGGGAGATATAACCAGCTCAGGAGCCCTAATGAAAAGAGACACTTAGGGTACTCAAGAGAGAAAGGAGCCTGTTGCGCTGAGGTGGGTTCATGGTGGGATTAATGCTGACCCCAAACACAAAGCTTGGAAACTAAACATTTCACCTTAGAAATGCCAAACCAGAATGTTCTGATACTTTTGGGGGGCCGGGGGGGAATACTTTTTAGTTTTCCACAAAACACTTTAGTTTCAGGATGAAAGCAAGTACCAAGACAGAAGAATTTTTAATACACAAGAATACTCTCTTTGAGACTTTACCCAGAAGAACTGTGGCCAAGCCATGCTTGGTTTCAGGAATAAACCACTTCTCCCCCTCTCCCTCACTCCTCCTTCCTCAAAACCACAACAACTTTGACTGTCATCAGGACAGGGAGGATTTTATATTAAATGATTGCCCTCAACCACTCAGCTGAATTAAGTCAAAAGGACTGCTGGTAGGCTTAAAATAGGAATGTGTTTAAGAGCTTTGCTGACTTTGTTGCCACAGTGGAAAAAAAGGAAGTTGGAGATGCATCCCTCTGGAATCTCCAAGACACAAAATGTAACTACAGTTATTAATTAATTCTGGTCTACATTGCATAACTGTGAGCAAAGTGAGAGACATTAGCTCTTTTCCCCTTCCTGTTGCTTTTTATTCATGTGAAAACAGGTTTAGTAATCACAGGACAAAAAAATTCAAGACTGTGTGCTGTTTGAAAAGGTGTATTATAGGAAGGGCACTCAAAAATATTTACAGCAGAGCACTGAGTGGACTGACACAGCAAGGATGACACAGAAGTAAGGCAAGAATTCCTTGATAAGTGTTCTACTTCCTGTTATCACTTCAACAATTTGGAGTACTTTGAATTTGTGACAAGCCTTCCAGCACTAATAATTTTCCTCCCTTTAGGACTGTATCTAAGCAGCAGGAAGCATTTCTTCCTGCCAGTTTCCACAGGGAAAGGAAGACTACCTTCCTCAGCAGTGGAAATCTGCTGTGCCTACTTTTTTTATGCACTCACATACTTCTCATTGGTCTATAATCCATGTTCTAGTTTAAAGGAAGGATGCCCACAATGACCCTTCCAGGCCTGCTCTTCCTAGCTGGAGTCATCTCTAGGGTAATATGTCATTTGGTTAACGATGGTGTGAGGATGAATCCATTCAGAAGGTTGTCAAAAACAGTCCCTCTAAAATTTGCATCAAGAGAGCCTGGAGAATTGCAAAGAGCACACTATGCAGACACCGGCTGTATTTTAAAATGTAGATTAAGTTTCTAATGCTACACACATTTCTGAAACAGTTTGTATTTATTGCAGAGGAGAAGATCCTACACAAATTCAGGAAGATGTTGGAACAGAGAGAGAAGACAAGGGTAAACTATCCTTTTATAGATACGCCACATCTTTCAGTGGCAGCATGCCAGGTTTCTTCTCTTCCCTGCTGTTTTTGTTTTCTTTTTCTCCCTTACCTTCCTTTCTGATGCTCTCCAAAGCGAACACGCAGGTTGTGAACATACCCATACATACATCCAGTATCCGGGGAGTCAACTGAGGCATCAGAAACAGTGTAGGCACACGAATACAAAGATAACACCACATGTGAAGACTACAGTTAAAAAAGCACAGCCAGTGTAACAGAACCTAACTATTGCTTGACAGGAAATTCAGGAAAGCAGAGAAAAAAACAGTAGAAACCAAGGTATCATTTTTGCACCACAGCCCAGAGACAACAAAGAACTTTGAAATGGTAAATCCAAAGTGATTCAGAGGGAGCCCCAACAGTGTTTCACCCTCATGCAAAGAGGAGATGGCTCTTCCAGTACAAATGCCAGAAGAATGACATGTAAAGAGTTCCTGACTATCCTGATGTATTTTAATAAGCATCATATGCAAAATCATATTTTGATAGCTCAAAATAGCTCTCAGCCCAATTACAGACGCTTAAAGTAGTAGATATTACCCACCCTTTTAGAGCTCAAGTCTGTGAGCCACTAGGCAGTTTGAAACATGCTTGAACTCCTGTCAGGGATGGATCCTGTTACAGATATGCAACTGAAGAGCTCACGGAAGTTGTGGGCTTGATACAGAATTTACTTGTAAAATCCTCTGGCCTATAATAAGCACAAGATCAGAACAGACAAAAAGTATCTTTTCTGACTTGGAAATCTGGAAGCCACTGATCCGTGTGGTCCCAGAGGAGCCTGGTACCTGAGTGAGCCTGTCACCACTGCACACAAAGTATTCCATCATCTGGAATTTCCAAAACACACCCTGAGATACCTTCACAATAACAATTAATGCAGAAAGACAAGTTGTAACTTCACTGCTTCATCAGCCTAACGAGTAGCAGCAGACTAAGCTATTAGCAATTAATTAAAGGTCAAAATAAGTAATCTCAAATAAATAAATATCCTCTGCTCTCACAATTATCATGACTTGAAAGTAGCTAGGTTACTCTGAGGAGTTAAGACACTATCTGTATATTCCCTGCATTCTCCATCATCAGACCAAAGGGAGTGCAACACAGGGTTAAATCTAAGTTTAAAGAAATTGTCTGCATTTAAAGTTAAACTCCTCTGGCATGTATGAGTACAATAACTAAGTAATTTCATAATTCCTTATATTTGCAAAATGATCCCTGGCAATTAAAAGGGGGGAAATAAAAAACAGGCAACAAGATATGGAATTCTAAGACTGAATCCTAAAAATGGTTAGGATTTGTATAATCTCTGTAACAGAAAGAAACTGTCTTCTCCCCCTGCTCCAAAGTCCTGAAGGTAATTATGACTGAAAGAGCCTTCAACTATGTCACTTCAAGCTGGACATTATTACTCTTCACAGGTTAAAAAAAAACCTCAGCCATACTACTGGAAAATGATGATGATGATAATAATAACAAGAATAAAAAAAAAAAAAATACAGCAGTTTATTCCTTAACAGAAAGCACAAGACCCCCCCTTAGCCAGGCATTTCCATTTGCATGTGTCCCATTGCACTTACTTCCTCCACCCGGACCTTCTGCTGTCCTTCCAAAACACGAACGAAACAGCCAAACAGAAAAACAAGGAGCCACGAGCAGAAGCCGCCAAACCCCGACCGACCGACGCACCGTGCCTTCGGTTTGGCTGCTGCCACAGGACCCTGCTGCCATCAGCGCCTCCTCCTCCGCTTTCTTCTCCTCTTTCTCCTCCGCCTCCTTCTCCTCCTCCTCGTCTTCCCCCGGCGGTATCCACGGAGCAGAAGCGACACAAAGGAGCGGCCGGGTAGCGACAGCTCTCTCTAAATCGTGGTGATAACGAGAACACTGCCCGAATCAAGTCTAAATTAAAACAAAAACAAAAAAGCAAAAACAAAAACTCCCCAAACAACAAAAAAACAAACAAAAAAACCCAAACCAAAACTAAAAAAAAAAATCCTCCAACATCCCACCCCCCAAAAAAAAAACAAACTATGTTTTTCTCATCACGAAGAAGTAAAAACCTTAAAATAGCTGTTTCTCGATAGCCTGAGAGAAAAGGCTTTTCTGGGAGCCTGCTGCACCTCTGGCCCCGTGGAGCTCATGTTGATGCCAGTGAAAACATCCAGGTTACTGAGACTCAGTTAAAGCTGGATCTAAAATGACAGCTTTGAGTTCCAAAGATAGCAAGGAATAACCTACAGGAATCCTGAAGGCAAAATATTTTTCTTTGCTTAACTATAGCTCTCCATTTCACTGCCTTTCTCATTCAGATTTGCTTGTTTTGTTCAGAAATAAAGGAATGTTGCAGGGCTGAGAGAACATCTTGTAAAACTGCTGTGTTCCCTTAATACAAGTGCACGTTAAATCACAAAGATGCTGAAATTTTACTAGAAGCTAAATCACAGGGGAAGGAGAAGTTACTCGCTTTCTCCTTAGTGGAACAAAAAAGCACCACCTATATTTGCACTCCCAGCGACACAGGTGCTCTCCCAGGCAGAAATGGAAGCAGCATACAGGTGCCACCTGTGTATTAAGAAAAGGGGAGAGCCCAAGCTGGTTGTTGGAGTCACTCAGAATAGCTTTGCAGGAGGCACGTGAGGTAAATTGAGCAGAAATATGGATGTTCCCTGTAATGGGAGTATTAAAGAGGTCACTTGCATCCCAGCCTTGCCAATAGACCTTCAGTGAGAGCTCCTGGCATCTTGGAGACCTTTTTGCAATGGATGTCTCACCTCCTAGAGTAGAAGCTTAAATCTGCGTCTAGAACCACATGCACATCAGACCTGTGTGCCTAAATGTGGTTTCAGACCACGTCTTTTTTTTTTCTCTCTCTCTTCAAGAATCTGAATCTTGCAGTGATGCTTTTAAAGCATTTTTCTCCAACTTACACTGAGATATTATTTTTGAGATACAAAATTAATGAACCTGGTTACCAGTGAATTGATGTCTTCTATTCCACAAACTTTCTTCCACAGCAGCAATGACAGCAATGGTATATTTGTTGTGATATGCCTTCTGGATAAGAGATGTTAAATGTCACAGTCAGCACAGAGCTACCTCTCTGCTGTTTGCTTGGGAGCTGCCACCTGGTCAAAATGCTTGAGGGCTTGATTCAGCATGGTTTTCTGCACTGGGGGACATGGATGGAGAGACTTCTGTCACCTTCCTGGAAGCAAATCTTCAGGGAACATTCAGAGTGTCATAACTGGGAAAAAAATACAAACTCCAAAACCCAAACCAAAACCAACCAAACAAAAAAACTCCAAAGCACTGCCCCCATCCCCCCACCAAAAAAAGGAGAAAAAAAAAAGGAAAGAAAAAAAATCATCCCCTCAAAAGACACCCCCCAAACAAACAAAAAAACCCACCAAAAAAACAAACCCACAGGAACAAACCCAGTAATCCAAGTCACAAGTTGTCCTTTTGTCTCAGGAAAACTGATTGGTTGTAGTTGTGTCTCATTGCAGTTAGATTTGAGTTTTGCCTCACAAGGACTCAGGTTTGGGTATACAAGGTAAAACAGCCTCACAAGAATGAAGTGAAACTTCTTGCCAGCAGGACACAATAGAAAAAAAAAAAAAAAGAAAAGGTATGTTATTGGTAGAGTACAAGGCAAAGCTGTTTGGAAAGTGCTGAAGAGAAGAAAAACTGAGATATGCTCTTGTAAAAACTTGCACGAGGGACTTTGTTTACTTCCACGTGTAGCTAATCCAGATGGCAACGTGATTAAAGCTGCATCTGAGATTATGTATCACAGGCCAGTTTGGACAGGAAGACACTGTGCTAGGAGTTCTATGCTTAAAGAAATGAGACAGTCTCTTCTGTATACTCTGTATGATTTAAAGACACAAATAATGAGTCAGAGAAGTAGAACAGGTAGAAGACAGAACAGTATGTCTGTGCCTTTTAATTTCCCCAAAACAGAAAATAAATTCATCTTGCATTAAAGCTCTTTTTACATTAAAGGGATAGTGCATTATGGACTTTTGCACTCCTGCCAATACTCACTGTCAAAAGAGTAAATTGCCAGTTTTCATGAAGTTGCATATTGCTCCATAAATATATATTCAGCAGGGGCATATGCCTTCTCTTTTTAATATATGTGTATATATACTTTAACACATTTGATTAGAGAGATGCATGTGCTGGGAGATGGCTGCATTTATTATATTCAAAAAGAAGAAATAAAAACATTCAAATTTATGTAAGATGCATTCTTTCTTGTTTTTTTGGAAAATGAAGATGGCAGACCACTAAGTCACACAGTCTCCCCATGTGTCAAAGAAATGGAAAGTAATTAACTATTTGATGATAAGTTCTAGACCCACTGAGGTTAATAAATTATTTTGGGTACAGAGTCACAAATTCACATTACTACTTTTAGGATTGATAACGGCAGGGAAACAGAAGATGATGCTGAAAGGCTTCTCTGTGTGATCTGCTGCTTAGAAGATGTGAACACTTAGTGTTCTCATGTGAAGGTAGTAACTGAATGCCTTATTCCACTGGCAGGGCAGATGGCTTTGGAAGAGAGGGTGGCCTTTTGGAGTTTTTACTTCAGTGTTTTGTATTGTCTGAGAAGATAAAAGAGAAGGGAATAATAACTCCAGCAATCTGGACACGACTTAGTTTCACAATGAGAAACCTGCAGTGGCACCTACGGTCCAAAATGGACTGTCACACCTTTTCTCCTCACCTTGTTCTTCAGTTGCTTTTATCTATAAACAATTTATAGCACAGCTCCTTCTCTGAACTGTGTCATCAGCACTTCATATCCATGTGTTTTCACCTCCTATCCCTGTGTCCAAATTGATGAGAAAAGGGCATTTTACCACCTTCACCCTGGGGTCCAGGCCTGTTCCTTACACATGGGTTTACTTTTACTACTTGTGTTGACAAGGAAAATAAGATTGAGGAATGTACAGTGCTGGGTTTTGTTTGACTGCACACCAGACGAAGGGTTGGAAGAAGCAGCCATCCCTTCTCTGTATATGTTAGCACCTACAGGCACACAACTAATGGAAAACCTTCATTTCTCTGCTAAAGGTCACACCATAGACAAAAGCTATTATGGTAATCATATTACAAAATAAAGGAGGAAGAATATCTGGCACTGGCTACAGAAGAAAATCTCCACAGTCTGAGAGAATAAGGAAAATGGGATTCATCATCTCCTAAAATGATTAAGAAGTTTGCTTTTAGCTCCAATTTTTTTCTTACCAGGCCTTATTAAAAATAAAACAAAGGTAAGTCCACATGACCCCTGTCCTCCATGTCTTTGAGATAAAGCTGCTGTATTTTTGAAGAGCACTTAGCTATGATTGACATGAGCTCTATGTAGCTCTCTTACTACAAAACCTCAGTAACGAAAAACCTAGGCCCTCTGAAGCCCAAGAAAAGCAAGTAGTGCTTGCTTACAGAGGTCATTTGGACCTATTATTTAGCAGTAACTTGTGGTACAGTTAGAAGTTTGGCTGTAACATTAAGAACTGCAGAAACATTTTGTCTCTAGAGCCCTGCTAATGGTGATGAAAAGCACCATGGATGGATGATTTGGCTGAACTTGCCTGAAGTTCTCTGCTATAAGAATGGCACAGGTCTCCCTCCTGGGAAATCTTGGATAGTTTCAGGCCCTGAGTGGACTCAAGCTGATAAAACTGGAAGAAAGTTTTCATTTCTTACTCTCCACTGCCCAGAAATTTTTTATCTTGTGGAATACATCAGAATTGGATTGTAAATTATCAAATGCTAAAGACACTGTAGGATGGGACCCTAAAGGAACAGCTCATTTTCACCATAGATGGCTTCTTATTAAACCATTCTCCAAAACTCAAAGAGTCCATAACGAATTCTACTGTATTTTAGTTTGCTGTGCCAGCTGGGCATTGTGTCTGGATTCTTCCCTCTGTGAAGAATTTTTAAATTCCCAGTGATGAGAGAAGACTGAATATCACAACAATAGGAAGAACAGACATGTAGCATGTAGGGATTAGTTTCCATGTCAGAGAATCTATTAAGCAGATCAGAAATACCTGCAACTTTCTCCAGTGCTTATTACAGAGTATTATACTTACTTGACTTTTCCTCAATCTATCATTCTCCTCCTCCTGAAAATATATATTTAACTTAGGCATTCTGTCTACTTCACATCCCTGCATAGCCAATGATGTCTAAAGTAACTGTTGTAACCCTTGATAAAATGGCACTTGAGACAAGATAGATGGATGTGTAGTTTTGTTGCAGAAAGAACTGAAATGTGGCTCTTTTCTGACAAAGCTTCCTGTAGTAGATAATATAAAGTGCAACATATATTCACCTCACTAGAAGAAAAATAAAATGTATCAAAAAAACAGCTGTATCAAAAGTGTGGTGATTGTTCTATAGATATGACTGACTCAGTGAGTGCATGGTCTTTAATCAAGTGTCCTTTTAACTTAAATTCCCTCTTCTTCATTTCAAATGAGAACTTGGGATAGACTCCTCGACTTCTTCAAGGAAGCCTCTTAGAGACCTACAGCTTACATGTGCTAACCAGCCTGAAACATTGGTGGACTTATCCTGGCTGGATCCTACAAGCCCACCAAAGCCACTCTGAGCTCCCCCACCAGCTGGACAGGGGAGAAAACATACAACTAAAGGCTTGTGGGTTGAGATGAGGACACAGAAAGATCACTCACCAATTCCTGTCACCAGCAAAACAGACCTGACTTAGGGAAATTAGTTTATTACCAATCGAATCAGAGTAGGGTAATGAGAAAAAAAAAATCTGAAAAGCACCTTCCTCCCACTCCTCCCATGTTCCCAGACTTAACATTACTCCCAACTTTCTCAGTGGTGCAGGGAGACAGAGAATGGGGATTGTGGCCATTTTGTCACATATTGTCTCTGTTGCTCTTTCGTCCTCAGACTCTTCCCCTGCTCCAGTGTGGGGTCCCACCCATGGGAGACACTCCTCCACCAACTTCTTCAGAGTGAGTCCTTCCCACAGGCTGCAACTCTTCACAAACTATTCCAGCACTGGTCCCTTTCCACAGGGTGCAGTCCTTCAGGAACAGACTGCTCCAGTGTGGGTCCCCCACAATGTCACAGGTCCTGCCAGGAAACCTGCTCCAGTACAGGCTTCTCACAAGGTCACAAACTCCTTCAGATGCATTCACCTCCTCTAGTGTGGGGTCCTCCACTGGCTGCAGGTGGATGTGTCAGCTTCCATGGGCTGCAGGGGCACAGCTGCCTCACCGTGAGCTGCACCACAGGTTGCAGGGGAACCTCAGCTCTGGCACCTGGAGCACCTCCTACCCCTCCTTCTGCTGACCAGGAGGTCTGCAGAGTTGTTCCTCTCACATGTTCTCAACCCTTCTTTGGCTGCAGTGCCATTGTGCAGGTTTTTGTCCCTTCTTAAATATGTTATCCCAGAGGTGTCACCACCATCTCTGATGGGCTCAGCCTTGGCCGGCAGCAGGTCTGTCCTGGAGCTGGCTGGCATTAGGTCTGCTAGATATGAGGGAAGCTTCTGTCAGCTTCTGACAGAAACCACCCCTGTAGCCTCCCCAGTTACCAAAATCTGGCCACAGAAACCCTATACAAACACAGTTCACTTTATCTGTTGTTATGGAGCAGCATTTATTCTGTCAGTGCAAAGCCAGCCCGGAAGAGCTGCAAATGAATGGTATGGAAAGGGTTGCTACCAGTGCAGATGGGCTGGGTGATAATACAAAACAGAACACAAGTCACTCAAGTGTTTTGGACACTGACACTGTATGTTCCAAGAAACATAAGGCCAGATAATGCACACTGGTTTTCCACATAGTGCACAATATGTTTTGCACCGGCCTTTCAGATCCACCCCAAAGCAGCTGCGTTTTCTTCACTGGTTTTCATCATTTTTGCAACTCCAATTTTGTAAGTTGGTCCTCAAACTTTTTAATGTCCACTCGATGCTTCATTAGGAACTTCCCATTTAAATGAAAAACAGGTATGTCATATTTATATTTATCATTCCATGCCGAGTTCTCTGGAAGTGTAATATCTATCTCCTGCAAAATAAACTGGGACAAAAAAGAAATATGTCAATTCCTACTGGATACTGAGAAACAATGCCTATTTATGTTTTGATCAATAGTTTTCTCAAAAGTGCAAGGCTGTTTTCTTAATGCTTTCGTATTTACTCTTTTTGTTGTAGGTAATTCCTCATTTTATGAGTACAAAATATATGTAAACACAAAGGACTCTCTCCCTAGCTCCCTAGGATTATATTCTTTTACCTCTGTGCAGAACCACTCTCCCGTGAGCACCAACCACAATAAAATATGCAGCCAGCAACACAGCAGAGTGAAACAACTCTTAATGCTTCCATTAACAGTCTTATCGTTCACGAGAGAGATCAAAACTTGGTTGAAGAATGTCAAAATTGCAATCACATATAACTCAAATACTCAAAGCCCCACTTACTAACATCCTTCCCAAATTATATCATTACCTGCCTCATGAAAGTTGCAAATTCCTCTTTCAGGCAAGGCAACAGTATTTAGAAAAGCAGTGGTTTCAAGAACTATTGCAAAAGGGTGTATATTTGTTTAGTTTGCCAATACTTATTTCAGCAGTTTTGTTTCAAAATGCTTTTGGATAATGAGTTTTATGGAAATCAGTGCTGAAAAATGAGTTTTATGGAAATCAGTGCTGAATTTCTCTTGAAGAGGTCATCCATGAAAGAATAACAGGTGCAAATAAATCCAAGCAATTTTCTTTTACAAAGAAAGAATCCCAATTAATGGTTCTTTCTATATATAGAAAGCTTATATAGCATTGCAATACGTTACCCTTCTCTTGTATGGCTCAAGAACTTCTTTCGCTTCATCACATAGAGGGCATGGTTTCTAAAGGAAAATATTCAGAGCAACTTAAAGCACACAGGTAAAACACACAGGTAATCTGTACAGCAAAGTAACATACACAGACAGGAGTGGTCATTACAAATACAAGTTCTCTCCCCACTACCAACCACCTAAACCAGAGCTTCTTTAAACATGATCTGAAACACCTATTTCTTACTTCCTGCATGTGAATTACTTTGGATTAAATACTCTACTTTTATTTGCATATAATCTGAACTGTCTTTCCCACACAGGCAAGTCCTTGTGCTCTGAAAACCGACGCAGGATACCAAAGACCAGTAGCATTGTGTTCTTGATAGTTCTTGTTGTTTTTGGAGGGATTGGTATATCTGATATTAGTGACTGGAAGGAACATCCCAGAATCCTGCACATCAGTTCTGTAACATGCCAGGCTCCTTTCAAGAACTTCTAGGAAAGAATATGCTCTTACTTTCATGGCAAGCTTAGGCACTACATGGTATTGATAAGATTGGAACTGGTTTAAAATCAATATAGCAAACTAAAAATCAATATATAGTGAACTAACAAACAGCAAAATCTGTTTAAAAACTCAATTTATATTAGTGCATATTTTCAGTAGAAGAGTGCAACAGTTTCTGACATCACTTGCTATATGCTGATTTGTAATTGGGCTTCCAGGATAAAGCTGTTTTGGACAACCTTCTCCATATTACAGAGACAAAATTATTGCTCAGGTAGTAAAAATCCATTCCCAAAGTAACATATGCTGGCTGACAACTAGATCTGTTACATAACACACACGGTGGAAGGACAGTTTTATTTCCGCAGATAATTGCCATTTATGCTGCATAGTTAGACTATAGTTTTGTGGCCATTTTAAGCTGTCACTGCTTCTTTTGTGCTGGCTTAAGCACTCAAACAGCTGCACAGTAAAGCAAAACAGGAGACTTGATCTGAACTAATAGCAACCTTGCAAAAAACCAAAAAAAAAGTTTAGTTGAAGCAGTTGCTGCACGAAGGCTTGTGTTGTCAAAAAAGGAGACTGCAAGGAGAAGCCTATTTGGTAATGCTAACTTTTATCAGTTTGAAGTGGCTGAAGAAGACATAGGTCCCTTCTGCCTTCTCTTTTCTTTTTATTCTTAAAAATAAGAAGGAGTACAAAAATGAGGTGATTAGCATAAACTAACAGCGCAGATGAGCTTTATTTTAAAGTAGTTTGCATTTTGCTTTGCAATTGCCGGTGGTATCAGGGATGAAAAACATTTAAAAACACTTTGAACAAAAAGCCACTTTAGAGAACTGCGCAAAACCTGCTATTAGAAAATTTGATTTCACAATGTCTTACCAGTTAGAAATTTTAAGACACAAAGAGCATTTTTCCCAAATATTAACCCACATAAGATAGTTATTCTCTACATTATCTCATTTGGACTATCAATGAGTTGATGCTGAATCAGGCAGGGGGAGAGAAAGTAGTTTGAAGTATAGTTCTATAGCATGCATTGCTCTGAGTAAGGAATAGATTGTGACCTTTTATTTTTCAACCTATTAATTTTTTACACAGTTTAAACACTCCTGTATGTCTAGTGATGGAATGAACAAACATTCAAAACACCCATGATGATGTGAACATTCTCAGTGCTTTGCATTTCTAGTAATCCTACTCTTGAAGGAGAATCATGTCAACGTAGCATGACCTGCTGTGTGCCATCCTTTACAATAAAGTGCAGAACTCTGCAGGTAACAACTGATAACAATTCATGGAATGTGACAGTTCACAACTGACCACTCCTGCTCATCATATCTGTTTTCTAAATGCTCTTAAAAACTGTGCCTGCTCGTAACACAGACAAACCTTTGCATGCATTGTATCTGTTGGTGTTACAGTGCCAAAAAAACAAAAAGAGGGTAAAGCAAAATCCACTCTTTGCTCATGTGCTACCAGTACTACTTGAATATATCTTACAGGTTCACAGGTAGTGCTGAAATTGGTAGTGCTTCTGCCTGGTGTACAGAAACCAGCAAAGCAAAATGCTCAATACTACATAAATTTGAAGGGGACAAAAAGCAAGGACAAGCCATTTAACCTGGGATTCAGGTATATCAAAGCTGATAAACACACAGTCTTGCCTGGCTTTATTCTGTAAAGAACTTTTACCTTGGTGAATAAAGTCAGCACAGGCTTCTTTGCGCTGGCTGAGCAGAGTTGTCTCCCCAGTGGACTGGATGAATGTCTTGCTAGCTGCAGTGTTCTGCTCAGAAAACAAAGTACCATCATCCTGTTCAGGCAAAAATAAAATGTTTGTTTTGTGGTAAGTTATAGTTCATGAAATTTAATGTTAAGACAAATGTGATACAATCACAGTTCTAAAATAACAATCAAACTATTTTCCCGTGATTTTTATGTTCACAGTATCAACACATTCATCAGACAGATGGTTTACTATGTAGCAGGCCAGAAACAGTGTAGCTCAAAAAGTGCAGCTCCATTAAAAAAAACACACACAAAAAAACCCAAAAAACCACCTCTGCTTTCTTGTTGAAATGCCTCTTTTAAATTCCCCAACACAAATGCTGACATAAATGTATCATGCTGTTTCAACAGCACAGATGTCAGTTAGAATTACATATTTAAAAATGCAAAGTGTTGTGCTTTGAATCTCTGTAATCTTGCTGCAGTGCCTGGCATATTCTACTTACTCAAATTATTCCATAAAAAACCTAATCTGTACCTAATCAGAATATTAATATAGTGCCTTCTGCAGTGAACAAAAAGCTGCAGCCGAGACAGTTTAACCTGGTAATATTAAAAACATGCATAGCATTGCATCCTTCCTGCAACAGCAAATTAATTTATGAAAGTTATAATTGGGTTTGTGATTTAAAGAGTTTACGTAAATTTAATGTTATTGAAGAGTGCCAGTCTTGAAGTCACCTGTTCATAATAACACTAATAACACCTGTGCTTCCTGCAGACTTTGGTCTTAGGACTGAAAGGCGAAAAACGGAGAAGCAGAAGGGAGTCTCTGCATGGAGACTATCATCAGACATGACACCTGATACCAGAATTTACACTGGGAAAATCAAGTCATTTTTACACAAAGCCAAACTGCTTCTGTTCAGGCACAGAAGTTCCCTGTAGTTCTACTAAAGGCAACCCCAAAACCACTATATAATGTCACAAGTTTAAACAAGCTTAAGTGTGAGCAGGACCACATTGCAGCTGGTAAGCACATTTTAAGATGTACAGTAAAAAAGAGCCCTGTGGATTCACTGAATCTCTCAGTACTAATATTACAAAGCTTTGTTTTACAGAGGACAGTTTAGCCAGTGTAACCACTAAGGAAGAGTATTCTGCAACATGCAGGATTTGGCTTTACTGTTAATTTTTAGACAGAAAAGGTTCTTTCGTACTAGTCAGAGGAGCTTCCTGTCACTGCAAGCGACTGGCACAGCACTCACTGCCAAAGGTCACAGTCCTTGGCAGCTACTGGATTTATTTTACTTAGCCAGGTGGAAATCTGGAAACTTCCTGGGATTTTACATATTAAATACAAAAATAAGCTTGGAACCTTTTGGAAAAATGTAAAACTTGATGACAGTAAGAGCCTCAGTCTCAGTCATACTTAGGAAGTTTTAAGTCCATAACAGATGTCCAGGACAGATGAGGTTTTGGCATTTGCACCATGTTGCCCTGCTCACATGCAAGATAAAAATGCAAAAACAAATAGTCTGCTTTCTGAACATTTTTTCATGGATGCTTTTGTTGCCAGCCTAGCAAGCCAAATTTTGTGCTTTCAAAACAAGGAAAGTGGTCTCAAATTGTTTTGTGGACAGCAGAATGAACATACCCCAGATTTCCAAATATCACATTCTCCCTGACACACATGTATAAAATGGCTCTGGTTCAGTCCTATATACCCTATTTTTGAAAATTGCATGCTCTGGTAAACTGGAGTACAGGGGACAATTCCTACCAAAACATTAGGTAGAGGGGAACAAATAAAACAGCATTAGTACCTAAGCTTCAAGATCTCATAGAAAGAAATCAGCTAGCAGCACCTTACTTCCTTACCAATTTTATATAATTACAAGCAACACTACCTTCGGAATTCAGCAGCAAATCTTCATTGACCAGTACTACCAGTGAAAGAAGAATGTGCTGTTTTCAGGGTTAGCATAAGACTGGTTGAATGTTTTTTTATAAATAACCTAAGGAAAACAGAGTCCTGTTTATTCACCTAAATAGAATGGCTCAATTGGACTAATCCTGATTCATAAAACTGATGCCACTCTCCATCCAGGCCCCAGCCATGCTCTGCTCTTCCACCATCAAAAAGCAGCCTGAAACATCTCAACCCCGAGGGAAGGTGAGACACTGTCAGATGGCATCATATTCCCACAGTGCAGATGATGCAGCCTGACTTCCCTGGCAGCATCATTAGGATGGCAAGGAGTCATATGTGCTGCATTTTAACCTGGACTGCCCCCATAAAAATTTTTTTCATCAGAATTTACTAATCTTATTTTACTGAATTTAGCTAAAAGGTGATGGATAAAGCCAGCTATCAGTGGTTTTGCACAAACATTGACAGGTTTTAGTACTGTGAATGGTTTAACCCTATACTTGTGGCATTGCTATTGGTCAGGAGCTGGTATAAGCAAATCTCCAACTACTCATCAGGTAAACCTACTGCACAAAATCTGATACACGATTATTTGGGATCTCTCTTTAGACTCCTTCCATGTGACTATAAAGATCTGTTTGAGAAAAAAAAGAATACATAAATCAAAGAAGGATGCTTGCAAATTTGAGAACTTACCTTCCCCTATACTACAATGCTACAGAATGATTTAACAAATGATGCTTTGGAGTCTGGACTTGGCCCGTGCTCTACTTTGCAAAGCCAAATTGGACTCATTTCCTGTTAATAGAATTTCCATGAACCAATAAATCCTCATCTGTTGGAAAAATAAAATGTGACATTAAAGCTAGCCATTATTTAGATAATTATCTGTATAAACTTTATCTTAGCATCAATCTAAGAAAGACAAGCATGGGTGATTTTTTTGTCCAAGTATGTACCTTTTAGTAGTATGAGGAAGGACTAACAACTGAAAGAGGATGGCGAAAGCAAGGGGGGGCAAATATCAGAACGCATGCTGATGGCCTAGACCAGTGGTGGTTTAAAATACCTGTCTCCTGTCATTCCTCACTCAAAACCAGCAAAGGCCATCAAGGAAAACAAACTTCCTGGTAGCCTGCTTTTGGTTACCTACCAGGGAAATGCTGAACAAGAAAAGTGCCACAACAACAGACTGAGAAGCACACGTGGGTGAAGACACCAAATCCTGTAGCTCTGGAGATCCTCACAAGGCTTTTACCCCACTAATCTTTCAGAGGAGGCCTGCAAAATACAGGAGGATCTTTTTGCACATGCACATAACTCTAAAGGTCTCTCAGGGAGAATGAGGTTCTTACATCAACTCAAAACTCAAAATCATCAGTAATACCACTAATTCCTCTGAGGTGGTGCATGTTTCCATGCATTCTTTCCTCCAAAGTACAGTAGCCTAAGGCAAATGCCACAAGCATTGCATTCCACCTCAGAAAAGATATTTTTGTCATTCCATCCCAAGGTGCAGTACATTTTTTAGAGTGATCCCTCTAGAGCTATCCATCACAGACTCTGGTCCAAGAACTTACTCCCAATTTCAGACAAGTTGAATAACATCTGGTAGGCTGCTGTAATGGCCTTTTCTGAAGACTAGACAGAACTCGCATAAAGAACAAACTGCTATCATAACATAAAATTATAGTAGAGTTTCAAAGACAATAGTAGGAATAGTATAATGGATATAATATATAAATCACATGTTATATACAACTATACAGTATATAACTATATATTATTTCAACATATTATATTATCTATTATATTAAATAGTATGAATAACATTTTTATTGTCTTAATATATATTAATAGCATCAGTAGAATAATTATGATACTATCAATACATTATTAGTAAACTGGAGCACACATATTAACACTGTTGTATTAATTATGTTAATATTAGACAACATTGTACATTAGTATATTGCAATACACAAGCCAGAATAATATACTATGTAATATATAAAATGTGTATTATATATTTATAATAATAATAATATTGTATATATTATATACAACATATAATAATGCAATATGTATAATACGTAATTATACTATACCTATTATACTATAATATATACTATATATTACTATATACTATATACACCGTAACATATACTACTACTATATACTATAAATACTCTAAAATACACTATGTACTATTATATATACACTATGCATTACTATATACTATATACACTATAATATAAAGTATTATATAGCTACTATGTATACGATAACATATAGTATTATATACTTTAATGCTATATATTATGTATTTAGTATATATATTTGGTAAATATATGCAGTATATCTCATATATGCAGTAAATTAATAGTAACAACAACAACAATAATAACTTTTCAACATCTCTATTTGGAAAGTTTCCAGCTCAATGATCCAAGGACCGGGGGCGAGCCCAGCCGGGTACAAAGTGCCTCCCCATCACCTCCTGTAACAGCAACCCCCGGCTGCTGATGCTGATACTTCCAAATCAGCAAATCCCCCCGGCAGAGAGAAGGAGCCGGAGCCCATCAGCACAGAGGAGTCCTCCCCGGGGGAACCTCATCCCGGGGAATCACGCCCCGGGACCGCCGCCGGTGCCGGGAGGTTCCCGGCGAACGCTGCCGGGGCCTGGCTCCCCCCTGCCCGGGCCGGGCTCGGCTCACGCACCTCCCGCCCGCAGCGCTCCGCCGGGCTCCGCCGGAACGCGCGGGCCGCGGGCCCGGCCCCGCCAGGCAGCACCGGCTGTGACGTGACCCTGCAGGGGAAGGAAGTGCTCTACGATTCCCGAATGGTCGTGGGGGAAAGGAGCGGGAAAAATCAAAACAAAACAAAACAAAAAACAAAAACAAAACCAAGAAGTTTTACTAGTAAATTAGAGATTTGGCATGGAAATCGGTCTGTTAGTCCCTGAGCTGCTCTATAAGCGCATGACAGTGGGTTTTTGGATAAAACGAGGGAATAAAATGAGTTAGGGTAAAAGGATGAAAGGGGAGAGAGCAAGGGAGTTAAAAACGGATAGGGAGAAAGGAAATTAAAGATGGAGAGGGGAAGGAAGGAAGGAAAGGAAAGAGAAAGAAAAAGAGGAAACAAAGAGAAAGAAAGAATTTTTGAGTATATGAATAAATCCAAATTGAGTTGGAAATACACTCAACACGAGTTTCAATAAAAGCAGGAAAGAGATTGATTGAAATAAGTTATCGAGCTGGTAGATCCAGGGAGAACACTTTCTCCACTGAAATGAATTGCCGCACTCTCGTCTGAATCTGTGAAGTTTTTGTCCCTCACATTGTGACAGATACTTGACCATGATGTTTGACCATAAGAGATAGCCCTGGCATAAAAATTGGGGTACTGTGCCCTTCTTAGCTCTGGGTGCTCCATTTGACTACTGTGAAATGTTTCAGTTGTCACGTGTGTTCAAACTCCTTCCTCCAGAGAATTTTTAAATAATCTATAGCAAGTGTTTACTGCTGGGAAATTAAAGCTGTAGTTCCTTTAGTGTCTATATTTCCATCAGAATTTTGGTTGTCTTTGTTCCTAGGCTGAGAGTGGGACACAAATCCTTTGGTGTATAGTCTCAGGTCAGCTTCCTCTCTTCATTTGTACTTTGAAAATTGTAGTATGTAGTGGGGAGGCTTTCCAGGAGAGCAATCCTATCCTGCTGATATGTCATATCTAATTAACTAGCATTTAAATTACCAGGAGGGTTGACCAGCTCTGGATCCTAGTGACTCATTTTCAACCACTGTGTTAATCACTCATGCTGAACAGAGATGTAGTGGTGGCAGCTGACACTGTCTGCTCATTCTTTTTCTCAGAAACAGAAAATCCAGTATCAGGCATTGGGGTTTGTCACTGGTATAGGACAGACCTGTCAAACCTTACATAAGGGAATTGCTGAACTGGCCCTTACCTGACTTTCATTTTTGAGAAAGGGTGGGAGGAAGACAGAGGGAGGCTTAAGTAAAGAGATAAGCATGCTCTTGCTATCTCAGGTCTCAGATTAATTTTATCCCTCTTGCTCCAAAAGCAAGTCTAGCTGCCTTTTGGATATGTGTCTGAAATCCCCAGAGTAACCTGAAGGAGACAGGCACACAGTTCCCAAACTGGTCAATTGATTTAAACAGAATTGCTTCTGAAGTCAAGAGGTACTCTCGCTGTGGTTTGTTTTTTGTTTTGTTTGTTTGTTTTTCTGGTTTCAGTGTAATTTGTCATTTATCATGTGATTTGCCTCACATGAGGCAACCTGTGCCTCACCACCTTCATAGTTAAGAATTTCGTCCTAATATCTGGGTTAAATCTACCCTTTTTCAGCTTAAAGCCATGCCCCTTGTCCTGTTACTGCTTGCCCTTGCAAAAAGTTCTTCTCAAGCCTTCCTGTAGGACCCCTTTTGGTACTGGAAGGTGCTCCAAGGTGTCCTTGAAGCCTTCTCTTCTCCAGGCTGAATAACCCCAGCTCTGATGCTGGTGACAGCGGCTGGACATGAGCCCAGGTGAGCCCAGGTGGGCAAGAGGCCAATGGCCCCTGTGCTGTCCCAGCCATGGGGTGTCACAGGCCCAGGGCAGTGCCCGGCCCTGTGCTGGGACTGCTGGGGCCACACCTCCAGTGCTGGGGACAGTTCTGGGCCCCTCAGACGAGAGACATTGAGGGGCTGGAGCGTGTCCAGGGGAGGGAACGGAGCTGGGGAAGGGTCTGGAGCACCAGGAGCGGCTGAGGGAGCTGGGGGGGCTCAGCCTGGAGAAAAGGAGGCTCAGAGAGGACCTTCTTGCTCTCTGCAACTCCCTGACAGGAGGGGGTAGCTGGGTGGGGTTGAGTCATTTCTCCCAGGTAAAAAGTTACAGGACAAGAGGAAATGGCCTCAGATTGTACCAAGGGAGATTTAGGATATTATGTTTGGGTATCCCTTCACTGAAGGGATTATCATGCACTGGAACAGGCTGCCCAAGGGAAGGAATCATTTTTGTATGGGTGAAATGTGAAATTCTTAATAATCAAGTAACATAGATTCAAAAAAGACAGTAAATTTAAAAAAAGAAAAAAACAATTACAGACTCATAGATTCAATAACTTGAATAGGGAGTGGAGGAACATCAGCAAAAATATTTTAGAGAATTTGATTCTAATATTAGAGCAAATTGTTACAATATTAAGTGGAAAGAACAACTCCTAAGAGATCTTAGCCAGAGGTTAAGCACCCTAAGAAATATGCTTTAAAAAAACCCCGTAATATGCCTCCTTAAATGATGAATGTCAGTTGAAGAGCACTTTCTTTTACCTAAATGACCTACATAAGTGAGAGGACGGCCTGCCCATGAACTTTCACTGTCTGTTAGCCCAGGGATCATCTGAACATTGAGCACAGTGACACATAAATGACACATTTTGTAACAGTGATTTGGACAGTACTCTGACTTTATTATTTTCTGTTGGAACATTGCTCTGATGACACATGGTATCTGCGCATCAATTTACTAAGCACCAATAGAGCACTTGGTTCCAGGCAAAGCCAGAGCCCATTGGAAATCAATGCTTTTCTTTCCTTTCTCTTTAAAAAGCTTTGGGTCAGAACATTCTTTTGCATGCAGCACAGAGAGTAATTGTGATATGTTTGCTCTGAGTGCTAAGAAAGAGCTGAGTTGTTTAACAACTTTTTTAATAATCAAATTTACTTTACATAAATTCTAGCTCAGTGGAGAGTATTTGAGGAAGATAAAAGCTTTTATGGGATTAGGTAAACACTAGCTATCTTCAAACAAATTTAAAGGCTGCTCTTGTAAACAGTGGTAGCAAATGTCCTACTCCCCTCATCTCTGAGATCATACACATAAAGAATAACAGGACAGAAATAATTATAATTTTGGTCCATGTAAATTATGTGAAGGTCTCATCACTCATTTTTCTGATGAAAATTTTCCCATCACATAATTACTATGCCTTGAATTGCATGTAAACGACACGTGAACAAGTAGCACTTGTTTGGCACTGTAAAGTGAACAGCAGAAATTTCATTTTACACCAACACATTCGTATCTTTTTCCTTGAAATATCTTTACATGGCATTACCTCTCCAGGCAAAAAGAGCCTCTCCTTACAACATACTGCATCACTCATTACTTGATGAAACATTTACCATTTGAAAGAAAATAAGAAAAAGACCGAGTGTGAGGCTCTGGTATTCTCTCAGCTATCACATGAAGAAGAAACAGGGTTTTTTTCAGGATAATGATGTACTTTGTCATGATATATTAAGTTATGATATATTACCTAATGTAAAATGTGTTGCTTTTATTTTCTCTCACATAATACAGTTTTCTAAAAGAAATGGATCTTCTCCTAATACGTTACATTTTTTCAAATTAACGCAAAATGTAGTTACTGTCATGCGAAGGCTGATTTTTGCTGTTATTCCTAACTGATTACTTCATAAAGAAACACAATGACGTCATGTTCTTCCCCTTTGCTATAAAGCTAATAGGTGTTACTGTTAAAATTCTGTATTTTGAAATTCATTTGAATAAAAAAGCCGTGGCTTTACATTCAAAATTATAATTGTATTAAATCTGACTATCTGATTAAAAACAGTATGTCTCATTATACGTCATCAGCTGCCCTGAGATCTGCATAAATTAAATAGCCAAAAAAGGATGGCAATTTTATTTCAGCAGCATTTCCCAATTAAAATAATTCT